TTTTTCGGTGTGCAAGTTTGGCGACACACTGGTGGAGCGCTGGGTTGGAGCTGCGCTGCTGGGGAGGAAGGAGGAAGGAAGGAGGAAGGGGGAGGAGCGCCAGGGGTACTTACCTGGCTATGGTGGGAGCCATCTTCATCACCTTGGTGGGCGCTGCTGCAAGGAGTCCCCAACCAAGGGAGCTACACCAAGAAGCTTCAAGGCAAGGCTGGGCATGGCGGCCTGAGCTGGAGCAGCCATAGCTGCTCCGGGTTGTCCTTTGGACGTCGGTGCAAGGCCTAGTAGTCCGCCATAGCCTCGGCCTATGTGTGTGAAGAGTGGGGGAGGCAGCCATGGCTATGGTGGACCTTGAGTGATACCTGCAGTAGAAAAGGGAATCGGACATGATTCTGGACCAGTCATTCAACATTGTATTATTATTTCTTGTGTGAATAAGAGAAGGGGGAGATAAGGAGGAGGAGATTGTTGGGCGAAGAAGAAGAGCCTTGTCATTGTCTTTGCTGGTGTCCATCTTCTTCTTCTTCTTTCTTACTTCTTCTTCTTCTTCTACTCCTCTCTCACCTCTCAAGTTCATTCATTTCTTTCTGCAATTTGGAACCCCGAAGACTCTTGTGAGCGATGCAACAGAGTATTCTAGGAATCTCTTTGCCTTGCTCGCCTACGATGCGTTTGCCGAGGACTCAGAATGAGTTACTCGCTCGAAGGGACCTCGCTCTTGAGGGGGGGGTAGTGTGATAACCCGTCCAAACACGGACTGAAACACACAGTTGATTTCTGAGTTTTGCTCATAGGCTGAATGCCCTACTGAGTTCCCCGCCTGCTAAGTCTGTGTGTGTGCGTGCTTGCTGGACTGCATGTCTGTCTGAGTGCTGGTTGGCTTGCATGTGTGACCATGCCTGTTTGAGTGCTGGTTGGTATGAGTGTGTGTGTGTGTGGCCCGCCAGGGCACTTGTTCGTTCGTTGTGAAGTTCTTGAAAGCATGTGGAACCTCATGAATATACAGTTCGTGACCTGCCGACTATGTGTAGGCGTGGCAACAGGCAGTGGTCAGTTGCCGACTCCGTTTACGACTGTGTGCGTGGCCGTGTGTTTCATTTGATATGTGTCCGTGGTTTGTAGGGTGCGTAATGGAAGGGAACTTCTCGACACCAAGGATCATGCATTCAATGTTCTCGNGTGCGTAATGGAAGGGAACTTCTCGACACCAAGGATCATGCATTCAATGTTCTCGACACCGGAGACGATGAGTCTCGAGACGCACATGCGCTTGATAGAACCGTTTCCTCGTGCGAAATCCGTGAGGCACTTCAAGGGCGTGACTTCGATCCACGGAGCCACCACAGAGGACTTTGAAGAGGACCCGTGGATAACCGTCGTCCCGTGCATGGGGAAGCATCTTGACGGTTGGCACGATGTCAATTGGGCCGCGATGGAGAGTCGATGCCCTTGGGCAAACCAGTACAAGTTCGCCAACATGTTGGAGTTTGGAGACCTCATCACGCTGCCGGACGCTGTCCTCGGACACAAGTTCCTGAGCCGTATGCGCAGAACACAGAGCTGCATTAGCCGCCATTTCAGTCGCCTAGAGTGTCACTAGGTCACGTTGTCGCCACGCGCGTGGAGAGGCTCGCGAAAACAAGAGTTGCTGGACTGCGCTCGTCACTGCTCGTTCCTGGAGCACTACCCGCTCCGTTGCCCTGGTCTTTCTCCACAAGTTGTGTCTTACTGTTGTGTGAGGTTGACTGTATCCCGAACCGATTTTTCCAGAGTGCTGTGTGTCGCCACTTGTAACAAAAGTAGGAAACTCGTCGATGCATTTGTGCTTGTGTCACGAAACGAGGTGGTAATTGAGGGGTCAAAATTCGTCGAAGCGCGCAGACCAGAACGTGTAGATGGGTGGCCGGACCTCCTAATAGCAGGGCAGGTCCAAAACTTTTCGTTGTGGCATGAAGTGGAAGAGAAAGTGTCTGACATACGGGACTCTATTGGGAATTCCTTAGCCCGACCGGGAGTTTTCGTTCGGATGAAATACATGTCCGTCTTTTCAAAAAATGCGTAAGTCAAAGAACCGCAGATCCACGTTTACGGATCTCCAATGAATGCTATGTATGGCTTCGGGTCACGACCTCGTCCCCGAGGGACCCCGAATGTAACCAGATCTGGACGGGTTGTCAGACCTCGTGCTTGAGGGAAAAGGAGCGAGAGGTGTGAGAGGCAGTAGTTGATAGTAGAAACTATATGGCGCACGTGTGGTGCAACGCCCGAGCTATCCATCTCAACGCGCTTCTATCTGTCCTCCGACGCCGTGGCTTTCCTGGCGCGCAGCTGATTGCACTGAACACGAAAGTGCAGAGCCTTCGTCATGCACGTCGCGTCTCTCTCCAGCACCAGCCCTATGTTCCGATCTCGGCGAACTTCGCTTTTCCACAAAGCCTTCGAACCGACTGTGTGTTTCCTTACACGGCCCTTCGTCGGACCCCCAGTTTCACCAGACCTCGTACGCGCGTGTGGACCTTCGTTGCATCTCGGGTTCCGGTAACTGCACAAGTGCGGATTCATATTGCTTTGTCGTTTTTTCTCGCGGCCTCATGCGACAAAGGCCCGTGTCCACCCTTGCCCAGACGACTCGTTTCGTCCGCGCTCGGATGTGGGCGGACTTCCCCTTCTCAACCAGCCTGTCAACTAAGTGCGCCCTGTCTCTTCCGGTCGCCCCCTCCAGAAGTTCGGATCCCGGCGAACTTCGCATTTCGGGTGATGCGTGGGTGTGTCAACGGTCGCTCTACGGTTCGTCGAGTTGCGTGAGGAAGCGACTGCAGTCCAGGTAATTCACGGAACAGCATATGGATCCCGCGTGTTATCAGTTCTTGGGGCAGTCTTCCGGGATGCTCAATCGCAACTGGGGTTAGGTTTTGGGACCTTCTTGTCGGATGTGGGTCTGTTTTGAGCAGAGTTTCGCACTCCATAAACAGAACACACCCCCCCGGATCCCGCAGGTTATCAGTTGTTCGGGCAGTCTTTCGGGATGCTCATTCGCAACTGTGGTAAGTTCGGTGGACCTTGTTTGATGTGGGTCTGTTTCGAGCGGAGTTTCGCACCTCACGAACGGAACTGCCCTCAGGCACGGTTTCTCGCGTAATGGCATTTGCACACTGTCTGCCAGCCAGTTGATTCCCAATGATGCACAATCACCGTGCACAATTGTCGACCATTATGATGCTTGTAAGATAGAAAGTTCGCCGACATCCGAACTACGCGAACACGTCTTTCTCTGTCGGAACTTCATGCACCGTCTGCCTCGGATTCTGGCGGAACAAGGTCGGACCCTGTCACAATGGCCCATCAACATTTGTTGAAGTCCGCCGGAATCCGGATATCGCTCATGATACATATTTTTCGATGGTAGAGCGATCTTCAATAGTAACCACATGTCCCCGCAATCTCTCGGCCTGGAATTTTCCAGTCCGGAAGAACAAAGGAGGTCCGCAATATGAGAAACGTGCGCAATCTTGACCTGCGATGGACGAAGTTCGCCGAAATCCGAACTTCTAACATATGCTATAAAGAGTTCTAAAGCTGCCCGTTTGCGCGCTAACTGTCGACAACCACCATTCCCCTCTACGTTGTTCGCTCGCCGCCAGCGCACCTGTTTTTCCCTTTGCGGTGTTTTGCTTTTCTATTTGCCTGGCTTGTAGTCCGCCGGTATCCGAAGTTCCCCATTTGCTGATTATTGGCGGTGTTGTTTGTTTTCGAATGCATCCTCCGACACAATGTCTACGTCAAGAGGCAAGGAGCAGCCTACGGGGACCTCAGGGAGGGAGTCGACGAACGCAAAATCGTGGTCGAATCATGCGCACACGAAGTGGTTCGTCGATTCGTGCTTCGCCGAAGATGACGAGCCCATGAAACCGCCTTGCGGTCCTGTCATCTTCGTAGAAGACAAAAAAGGACGAAGAATGCTCAGCTCGGTCAAGGGATGGCAGCCATCGAAAAACCACGACGAGCAGTGCTACCTGATGCATGTCGTTTACAATTCGAAGGGCGACGTTATGGCAGGTGCAAAAGGGGCGATTCTCTCGTGGGATCTGTTCCAGGGGTTTGGTGGGGGGGCTTTGAGGACCCCTTTCTACACTTAAGTCGCGAAGGGAGGTCTTGTTTCGGCCAGGGAGTTTTTTGACGAGGTCGAGAGGAGCGACTTCGACCTCGACGATCCCTGCCAAATTTCGAGCGACCTGGAACTGTCGCTTCCTGTGCAAATGTGCTCCGGGTTCGTTTCCAGTGGTTCAGTACATCCCCGGCAGGTGAGGAAATGGGTTCCGGTGGTTCAGTACAGCCCCGGCAGGGTGAGGAACGCGGTCGCTTCGATAACAGCGAGGAGGAAGAAGAGGAGGACACGCGAGTTTTGACGCAAAGACTCGGAAATCGCAGGACGCTGAGAATTCCGGGGGCTGAGAGAGGGGCAACGGTCGTCGAGCAGCCGTCGACGTCGGGTGGTCGTCTCGGCTTGGGGTCGGAGGACAGGACAGTTGGCGTCGTTTCCGGCGGGGAGGGAGGGGAACAACAGTCTACACAAAAGAGAAGGGGAGGCTCTGAGGGGGAGGCGTTGGGAGCTAAAAAAAAACAGAAGACAAAGACCCCACAACAGTCAGGGGGGAAAAGGAAGGGAGCTGAGGGGCATGTCGGCGCGTCGAATCAAAAGCGCCCGGCCTCGGCTCAAAAGCCACTCCAGTCGGCCCTTGTCCAGCCCAGAGGTGCCATCGACATCGACGCGGCATACTTCCGGGAATGGAAAAACGGCGTGCGAACAAAGCGGGAGTTCGCCATTAACCCGTCGCAAGTCATCGACATCAGCGAGTGGGAGGCGGCATGCAACCAGTGTTCCTTGGATCCCGTGCAAATACAGGCCATTATTGACGCAATGACGACGGCCTACTCTAAGACCGAGAAGACTTACGAGCTGCCGACACTAAAGCTCGCGCCTCTCGGGCTGGTTAAACCGACGTCCGGGGTGCGGGCGGATCGTCTGAAGCCGGAGGACTGGAAGGACGAGCTGGCAGGGCAATACTACTACTACGCTGTGGCGGGCCAGCATAACGCGGCTGCGGCCAGGGCGCTGCTTGGCACCGATGTGGCGGTGAGGTACAACTTCGGGCGCTGGCCTGCACGAATGGTGTACTTCTCGGACGAGGACTTTGAGGGGTACTTTCTGGTCAGCGCCGAGGACAACAAGAAAGACCTGAAGGCCCCTTCGAGACAACTGAAACTCTCCATGAGAGACATTCGGTGGTGTCGGACGGAATTGGGTTACCCGAAAGCTGTTATGGGTAACCCAGCGGGAAACAGGCGCACGTGGAGGCATGGCGAAGATTTTGTGCGGAGGCGCTCCATAGGACGCCGTACAATCACTTCTGGACTCTCGCCGATGACAAGACCGAGCAAGGAATCAAGAAACAGAACGCTGCCCTTCGATCCTATTTCCCGCTCGCGATGGCAGGGAAAAGCGCATGAGAAACCGTGATGGAATTTTTCGAGAGATGGGAAACGGGCAAACTGCTGGCACCGGAAGGAGCGAAGTGGATCGCGAAGAAGAAGAAGGTGCAGGGCCTCAAGCCAGGTATGAGCCACATCGAAAACGAGAAGGACGGACGAAAGGTGGTCATCTACAATGTCCCCGTCGAAGGGTCACAAAAGAAAGGCAAGAAGGAAAAAGAGCCAGGGGACTGGTTCGTCCAGGTCACCGAGCCGGATCCGCACTGCTGGAAGAGCATGGAGGCCCTTACCGAGAATGAGAAATGCTGGTTGTTGAAGAAGGTTCTCAACTGCAAGGTGGTCTGGGTGCAGAGAGGGTCCTCCGCGTTGGCGAAGCAAGGGAAGCTGGGGATGCAAGAGGCAGTGCAACTGGTGAAGTGCAATCGCATATTGGTGCGGTTGTGGAACTACTACCAGTTCAAGCATGAGAACCGGCCAGACAGTGAGACCACTAAGTACCCCTTCCTGAAAAAACGAGAGGCGATTTTGGCAAAGTTTGAAGGGCAGGGGCTGGATGCAGCGTTGTGGGACGGGAGCAGGAAACTTGTCTGCGACTCCTCCTTGTTCAAGGACTGTCCGCCCTACATGGGTTGCGAGGACGACAAGTCGATCAAGGCGACAGAAAAGCTAGTCCAAAACAAGAAGTTGCCCATCGACTGGAAGAACAAGGTCCTCTCCGTGTTGACCAGCAGCAGGTCGAAAAGCATGGAAGTCGTGTTGGCTGAAGGGATGATGCACATTCTGTGGAACGACTCGAAGGACGTCACAACTATTGCCCCGTTCGGCGTCGACCCTCTGGATGCGCACATGAAGGTCGTGGAGTTGGAGAGGGCGGTCGGAATCACGAAATGCCACACGTGCGTTCTCGACTTGTGCGACCCGGTGGACATCAAACAGTGGATAGCTAAAGTCTTCGAGAGTTTGAATGCCCTACTGGAGCACGTGTTCCCCTCGCACTGGACAGTAGTCACGTTCGTCCCCCATGAGCACGACTACTACTTCATAACCAGCCTGCACCATCTGTCCGTCGTGAAGGCAATGGCCAGGAAGTGGGTGAGGAGGACGCAGCAGAAGAAAAGTTTCGGTGTCGGCCACAACTTGTACTCCTTGGACGACTGCATGTACATCCTTTTCAAAGGCGACGACTTGCGGGAGAACACATCTGCTGTCTACGACGCGAGGTTGGCGGCGGGTGATGCTGCCGCGGTGGGGGCACTTCAGAAAGTGACTCCCACTGAGATATCCGACATGCCGTTCGACGCTTGTGAATGGCCCGTCGTAATACATGGGCGTGATCCCGTGGTGTACAAGGGCCATGAGCGGAACCCCACACAATTCGCCCATCTGCTGGAATTCCTTTGCAAAAAGGGGGACAGCATCATGTTCCTCGGGAAAGCGCACGCACAAGTCGTGTGGGAGGTCTTAAAGGGTGGTCGCAACGTCATCGCGTTGGAGGGGAATTCGGAGTGGTTGCAATTCACGTTGGATTTCCTGAAAACCGCGGTCAACTCGGGAGCATACCGCTGCGAGTTCATTACGAAGAGTGAGAAGCCGAGACGCATTTGGGATCCTTCGATGGACATGTGGTTCAAGCTAAGCGCCCGGAAAAGGAGCAGGATCTACGAGTTCCTCTTCTTGGAGAAGCGGCCTGCGAGGGGCACCGACATCGAGTACATGCGCCGCAAGGAACACATGTTGGCGCTGCTAGACAACTATCACGGCGCCACGTGCCTGAACGCGAAGAACTTCCTGGACCGACTGAAGTTATTGTACTTTGTCGAATCCGAGCCGGTCCTGAGGCTCGAGAGTTACGGTGCCTTGATCGACGCCGACGAAGAGTCCCTCACCGGTGTTGTCTTCGACACGGGTGCACCTGAGGAGGATAGCGACACCGAGGAAATTGACATCGACTACCGCCTTGCTCCGGTGCTCCCATCCCCGGCCTCCTCGTCGGCGAGTCCCTCAACAAACCGGCCTGCACCAGCGACACCCGTGCGGAGGACCCCTAGTAAGCTGTTTGCGAGATTGACACCTCGGCCTGCTGCGCCTCCTCCTCTGTGTCCAGGGTGTCAAGTCCCCCTGCAACATCCTTCTCGGAAGGATGAGAACATCCACTTCGAAGGGCACGACCACACACGTTCCACGGAGGCAGACTGCGTTCATGACATGATTTGGCACCCGGGGATTATCCAGCCCGCAATTCGGAAGGGGGAGTGGGTCATGGCCATAGTCGACACTGACGAGGAATGGAAGCCGTCCGAGCGCCTGGCCAAGTCCGACTATTTGGATATCGCGAGGAGTGATGTGGTGGACAAAGTGACGTCAGAGAACAGCAACCTGCAGCCCGCCGACCCGGCCATCATTGCCACAACTGATCGCTTGTTTCGGGAACTTCATGACAAGCAGTGGTTGGAACTATCTGACGATTTCTACGACCTCGAGACGAGCCCTTCGAAGAAAAAGGTGAACTGGAAAGTACCCCCGTCGACAGGGACCCAGGGTAGTGTGGGAGGAGGACCTCCGAGCCCCCCTGGGGCCGGAGGGGGGGGAGGCAGTGGCCACGAGGAAGGAGGTGGCGGAGGCAGTGGCCATACGACATCAGGGGGAAGCGCGACGACATCATCGCCTGCCCCTGGCGGTCAGGGCAGGATCGCGCACAACGGCGTGGGGGAAGGGGGGGTGAACGTCACACACTCCCCAACAACAGGGAGCGGCAAGTCGGGGAAGTTCGCCCACATCCGAACTTCGCAGACGGAGGACCCACTGCCCGTGGAGGCAGCGACGTCGACCGGCATCCGCACTTCGACGACTCTGGAGCAGGCGGCCCTTCCCTCGTGGACTGCTTTCGGCTCCTTCTGTGAAGTGGGGCAGGGCTCATGTGCAGGGGATCATGTCTCCGCCGTGAAGGGCAAGTCCGCAGGCATCCCTACCAGGGCGGACGACGTTCAGGCGAGTGTACCGGTCCAGTGGAGCTCTACAGGAGCACAGGCGTCGGAGATGGGCGCCGCCCTGGCTATGCGGGAGGCGACGCCGCCGGCCCTTGGACAAGGCTGATCTGCGGAGTCACAGAGAGAGATTGCTGGTGCAGAGCTGTCCACCTTCCTTGCGATGAAGTCCGCCGGTATCCGTACTTCGTCCGTGACGTGCCTGCAGTCGGAGGAGGCAGGGACGGAGGAAGGTGCTACGTCTGTTCATACAGACAACCGCTCCTTGGGATCCGCCTTGATGCGGCTGCAAGGAGCCGAGTCACGTGAGACAGACAGGGCCCGACACAAACCTCATGTTTTCAAATTTGTTCTGCAGTGCAGCCAACTCAGCTTTAGCTCTCGCTAGTTCGGACGAATTTCCTTTCCTAGGACAGTCCTTCCCTTCTAGGAAACGCGCAACGAACTTTCGTTTCATTTCCTCTGCAGCTGCCATGATCTGTTGCAGCGTGTGATTGATGGGGGAGAACTGTTTTCGCAGTTTCGCCCTCATCGTTCGACTGTGAAGTTCATCGATGAAAAAATCTCTACCTACCTACTCGCCTCGTTCTGTTTTCACAATGATCCTATAGAATCGGTTTCGATACTCGGTGACAGACTCGAGGGGTTTTTGAACTCGATCTTTGATCATAAAAAGGGCCTGTTTCGGGTGGATGTAATCGAATTGGTTCAAGAAATCTCGCTCGAATGTTGGGAGATCGACCCATACATAGGTACTAAACCAGTGATGGGCATCTCCTCCCAAATGTGTGAGGATATTCACATGTGCCTCGTTGTCATCATACTGCTGAGCCCGGAGCGTGGCTAGCCATGCTCCAGCGAGGTGATGAGCGGGGTCGAATAGATAAAGATCGGGTGGTGTCATGGGAGCCCATGCTCGTGGTATGGGTTGTTTAGGATTCTGCTGGGGATTCTGTTGATTAACATTCATGTTGACCGTCCGTTGGGTCGCAGACTGGCTTCTAGTGACGACGGGGTCTCGTCGATGCGCGTTCCGCGCTCGAGGTCGTCCCCTGTTAGCCAGATCGCCCAGCTATGAATCCTAGAACCTTGCCAGGTGTCGGGCTTCGACACCAACCTCACGCCCAACGCGACTTCCTGATCGGAGTGGGACGTGGGCCTGGAAGTGCGAAAAGGGGTGTGCCAAGGATTTTCGGGAAAGTGGGGGTGGAGTCCCGAGTCGGAACTTAGATCTCCTGTGGTAATGTTTTGAGGGTAAAGATGCAATAGGGCCAAGGGGTGAGTTACTTTCGGTCTGATGGCGGTCGAGGTCGTGCAGCATAAGGCAGATGGCCTGCGTGGTGCATTCAAGGTCGTCCGATCCGTTTGTTTTGTTGGCAGTGGTTCGGGCAGAGACCCGCCCGAGATGGTTGTGGTTTCGATGAGTCAGACCTTCGGGTGCAGACACGTGGCGTCTGTCATCGCGCGTTTTGGTTAGGCCCCCTAGTTTCAGGGGCTCGTCGGTTGCCTCGTCGCCGACAATTTTCGTGAGGCGTGCGGGGCCAGTACGGGGCGATGAAATTTCACGCAACCACCATGAGTTGGTGATACGGGAGGAGGAAACGGAAGGGAGGGAAATTGGTAGTGACAACGACAAAGACGGGGGATATGAAGCATTGTGTGTTATACGTAGTGGGAAAATCGGGGCACCTAGGATCGCTGGTAGTGGCACAATGAAACTCCCTGGGGCACAATCGATTCTCGGTTAGGCAAGGGAATTTCGGGTATCTTTGCCGAATACATTCTCTCACCCAAGGGTCGAAGTACTCCGAGTCCCAAGAGTTCGGCATCTTATCATTGCGGTGTGATGAAATTCCTCCGCACGTATCTAACTGGCAGGGGGATTTTCCTGATGATATATCTTAAATTCCTATCCGTTTAGGTGCGTGGGGGAAGGAAAATTCCCGCCTACCCGATATCGAAGGTGTCAAGTTCGTCAATGGTCGCAAATCGGCGCGCGTGGATACGTGTAGGCTGCGCAAATCAGATCACGCTTACACGCATCCCCGCGAGGTATTCACTTGTTTCAGGACAATCAAATACCCAATCATCTAAACACTCCGTGATCTCGCACGCAATCGTTCCTGAGCATGCAAGGTGCTATTACACATCAGGCATCGCAACAACAACAGTGACTCAAAAAGGATAAACAGCAATGGAAGCAGTAATGACGACTACGCAGAAGTTTCTACTATGCTCATGAGTGTATCAAAATGACAAGCAAAGGCAAGGACCAGACAAAAAAAAACAACAGACATGACATTCATTCGACGAAACACACAACGAACGTGATCAAGATCAATCCCAAAACGAGTGTGGGCTGAAACCGAGACAAGGATTCCGAAAGCAAAAGAAAACGAGCAAGTCGCCCTGAGCCGAGATCAAAATTTATATACAAAAGCAAAGAGGGAGAAAAGACAAAGAAAACTGCAAATCCACGTCCATCAACCTCAACTCCCTCTTCCTCTCTCTTTATCTCCGATGCGTTCAAATACGTTATTCGTTAAAATAGGACATTATAGTGTGTCCTCTTTCGAACGAATTCAGTTTCAGCTGCAGCCTAAGCAACCTAGGCATACCCATCCACTCACCCCTCCACTCGCCCCATATGCGGAAGTGTGCTGAGATCCATACTTGTTTATAATGAGCAAGGTGTGCCTGATATGCGGAAGTGTGCCGAGATCCATACTTATATATAATTCCGATGAGCGTGGCGCCTTGATTGTGTCCTTATCGGAGAAGTTTGATAAGTGTGCTGAGATCCATACTAAATCTTATTTTCGATTGTGATGAGCAAGGCGTCTTGATTGTATCCTTGTCGGAGAAGTTTGATAAGTGTGCTGAGATCCATACTTATTTCTGCTCGTGATGAGCAAGGTGCCTTGAGCAGCACAACCTGCGACCCCCACTGATGGATAATCACAACAACACAATGACGTCGACTCCTTGTTGTGTTTGAATGTTAAAACGTCGAAAGTTCAAGTGGGCAGAGTTGAGGAAGGGAAGAAGGGAACTACCGCGCTTACTGCTCCGGGATTGAGCCTTCCCCCAATCCCCCATAAGAGCAGCGTGCTGCTCTTATGGGTGCCACGTAGTGCGCCGACCCGCATCGGGGCCGGCCACCTTAATCCAGGCCGACTTCATGTCGGGCACTGGTCTTATGGGTGCCATATAGTGCGCCTCGTTGCGGTGATACGAGCGGAAAAAGGGATTTGAACCCCCAACCTTACGTTTCTCACACATGGCTTGTGAATGATGTAGCGTAAGCTCACGCCCGTGCCTATATAGGCCAGGCGCGTGCTTGCAGCGGAATAACCAACAGGAAAAAGTTATGGGTGCACCCGAGCAGTGGGGCGGAACAGGCAGTTGGACAGCAGGCGACCACTGCGGTGAATTCAGAGAAACCAGTGCCCCCATAGAGTTGCTCCCAGCGAGGCCGTTACGTGATGGCGCAGGGGCGACTCACGGCACGCGGAAACGCAACCAGCACCGCGGACGGCACGTGGAAATGCAAGATGAGTCTCACGCCCGCGACTGTGTCTAAAACACTGCCATGCACCCCAAAAAAAATATCCACAAGTGGACTAATTCTAAGAGCGGTGCAAAAGCAGAACAGGACGAGCGCAGGTGAAAACGAACGAGCACCGTCATCGGAATTTCGGATATCGGCGGACTACAGCCTCTTCGCCCCCGCCCCCGACAAGAGTCTTATGTAGGTTGTCGTACATGCAATAATAATCATAGAGCGCAACATGAGTTGTTCCACTGCACGAAAAGAGAGTGAGAGAACGTCATTTAAGGGCTAGAAGACACGCGAGAACATAGATGCCTTCAAATAGCAAAATTGCAAACCGTCGTGACAAGCAAGGGGCAGCAATCCAATTTCACGCCTTACTTTCCACACACAACATACAGAGGAAGTGAATCGCACAAGGCACCGACATCGAAAGTTCGGATGCTGGAGGAGTACAGCCTCTTCGCCCCCCCCCCGACAACAATCTTATGTACCACAACCTACACTAGCTTAGCGCCCGCGGTGCGGGCGGTGCGGGCTACGCCCGCAAAATTGAAAAAAAGGAATGGCAAATATCAGACGAATTGCTCATACGGACTGAAAACTCATTTTTAAGAATAAATAAATAAATAACGGAGCAGCAATAGAACTTATAGAAGGGTTTTGTCGAAAAAGGGGGAAAATAACATTTTGTGCGGCCAAAAAAAATAAAAAAAGCGAATGGCAAATATCACACGAACTGCTTAAATAGACTTAAATGCAGTTGTAAAAATAAAAAGAAGATAGTGGGCCAAAAAAATGAAAAAAAATTGTATTAAAAAAACAGATAATGTGCCGGTAATAAAGAGAGAGAGAGAGAGAGAGAGAGAGAGGTATATCTTGGTACGTTGGTTCTTTCTTGACTAAGTCTTGTTGCTTGTCTCTTCTCCAAAATAGTTGCTTTTTTTTTTTTTTTTATATGGTTGAATGGTTCTTTCTTTATCAGGTCATGTGTACCTGCCTGCGTGCCTGCCTGCGTGCCTGCCTGCGTGCCTGCCTGCCTGATTGCCTGCCTACCTGCCTGGCTCTCTTTCCTGCAGCCTGCCAGCCTGGCTCTCTTTCCTGCAGCCTGCCTGCCTGCAAGCCTGCTTGCTTGCCGGCGTGTCTGCCTGTCTGCCTCCCCGCATGCGTGCCTGTTTGCCTGCAGCCCTGCGCCTGCCTCTCTGCCTGTCTGCCTGCCTCTTTGCCTGCATGGCTGCCTGCCTGTCTGGGTGCTTGTCTGTATACCTGCCTGTGTGTGTGCATGCTTGCATGCCTGCTTGCCTGTGTGACCGCCTGCCTTCCTGCCTGCCTGCCTGTGTGCCTGTCTGCGCGCCTGCCTGCCTGGCTGCCTACCTGCCTGCCTGCCTGCTTGCCTGCTTGTCTGCCTGCCTGCCTGCCCACCTGTCTCCCTGCCGCCCTGCCCGCCAGCCTGTGTGCCTGCCTGCCTACCTGCGTGCCTCCCACCCGGCGTGCCTGCCAGCATGCCTGCTTGCTTGTCTGCCTGTCTGCCTGCCTGCCTGGGTGCACTGTAGATCGGGTTGTGTGTAATCCTATAGTCACTACTATGAAGTAATCGGGCTTGGGTGTGGTACTACCTGGACTACTATGCTC